CATCAAACACGAGTGGTAGTGCTTGATACAGGAGAGATTTCCCGAAACCAGTTGGAAGATTGACAAATACATCCTTTCTTTCCTCAACTATTTTCCTAATTCCAGTTTTTTGCTGCGCATTTAAGCTAGGAATTCGAAATGTATTGCTAACAACATCAAACGCCTCTTCAAAGGACGCTATTTTGAAAGCTTTGAACTCCAAAATGAAACAAACAATATGATTCGTTAGACTACTTTGGCGCGTACGGTTCTCAACATATGTAACCCAAATGGTGATTGGTTGAATAGCGGAAAGGAATGTTGTTCGAATGTGAGCAGCCGTTTGTGGGGAGGGGCGTTGCGTGACGAGACTAAAAACGGCTGCGGGGGAGACTAACATTATCGTCGAGCGATCGAAAAGCAAGATAATCGCTGCCCATCGCCGTTTTCCGACCGACATTCCAATTAATTAAACTTAATTCCTGTAAGCCTTTTCGAAATTTTGGACATAAAGGGAAGAAAGAAAGCGAGATATCAATCAGGGAGCAAGTGGTGTAATGCCAGTGAAATAAAATTTTATTAAAGTGCCGAAGGAGCCTGAGGTATGGCGATAACAGATGGTTTTCGTGAACTATGTTGACTCAAAATCATGCATTTGGATTTATTTTGATTTAAATCTAGGAAAGTGGCTCCTATGATTGAAAAAATTGCGAAACAAGAAGCCATTTATTTTTTAATCAATGTTAAATATCTATCATTTCAAAACGAAGTACCATTAACAGGTAAACTTCCACTATTTTAATTAAGCTAATATTGGAGGGAGTTTTTCTCTCATTAATATCTTGCAATAGTTCCATTATTTACTGTGTTGTCAAAATAGCTTAGTTAAGTTTTCATAACATTAAATTATTTTGGAATTTACTTTGTGTCTGTTATTATCACCATTCAAATTCAAGACAGATACCAGTAATTTTGAGCAATCATTTACCTTAAGCTAATTGTCAATCAAAACCAACTCAGCCCAACCCATCCTTAACTCCCACCCCCCATCATCAATCAAAATAGTCAGTTGAAGATTTTTTTTAACTCAAAAAAACCTTTTTTTTAGCTCCCTATACCTAACCTCTTCCATTCCTTTTACCACCTACTCTTGATACTAACCAACATGTTACTCATCTCCCTCATTTCTTTTCTTCTGATAATGACTATCTCATCTTGTTTCACCCTAACCTTCCTTATTATTATTATAAATTTTTGTACTGCCTTGAAGTGGCTGCCTTGCAAATTGCATATAAAAATAATGAATAAACAAATTTATCAAAGAGATCTTTCAAAAAAAAAAAAAAACAAACAAACAAACAAGCAAAAAGGGCTTTTCAATTTTCTAGAGACTAAGGATTCCTTTATGGAGTCCTTTACAATCAAAGTCTTCCATTTTCCTTTTTTCCTTTCTTGTGTATCTGTTTGTCTTTTTATGTTGTATTTCTTCATTTTCATTTATTTCCAGTGTAATTATATTAAATTAAGAAAAATTTGACCCACTATCTGCAGGTCAAAGGAATACCTTGTAGATATATAAGAAAATAAAGTTCGTGTGGACCTTCAATGCTAGTACCCAATTGAACTACTGATAGTTTTTATTTTAATGCTGCCTTATGACTGACATAACTGCCTTGCAGTTTGTAGGTCCCTCAGTGCAAATTCTCTATTGAACAACTAACCTTTTATTTTCATCATTTCACACTTTCAACACTTGCCACCATCACGCTTCTTTTCCCCTTATTAACCCACTATTTTTGTGGAGATTTGGGAACCCTTTCATTTGGGATTCCATACTTTTACATAATCAATCAATCAATCAATCAATCAA